GGGGGGGGGGGGGGGGGAGGTAACACACAATGCCACGTGATGAGGGAATAGATCAGGAAACCTGGTGATTCGATCATAGTCTGGAAACCTCTTGACCAGCTGAGGGTTCCGTGGCGGGCGACAAGAGCAGAAACAGCGACAGAGGGGGGGGTGGAAATGTGCGGTGGAACGTGTGGTGGCTTGACCAATGGTTGCGAACAAAGAGGTGGTTTCGGCGAGGAGGTCAGGTTGAAGCCATCACGACAAAGATTCCGCCAAAAAGCCTTGCGGCGGCATCGTAGGCTAGACCTGAGCAAGAAGCCCTTGGGAGGCAGGGGGGGATTTTCATGTGAACGCGTCGTCAGACCATTGACCTCGTATTGCTACAGCGCCGGGATGAAGCGCAATGGCGTTTTTTATTCCGGCCCAGGTACTTTCCACAAGGATGAACCAGAATCTGGTCATCATCCTCTTGTTTGCTCTGACAGGGCAGATATGTCGAGGGGTCTGTGTCATTCTGCCACCCCGAACGACGGCGAAATCTAGGTAGCTCTCATGCTCATTCTGGTCTATCAACGTTGCCAACTACGGGACCCGCGCTGGGGAACATTCCGGGAACATTCCCCGGCCCCCAAAACACCGAACAAAGTGTCTAGCTTTCTCCAGACAACCAGGGAAAGCGACGGACGCAAGGTAGTGGGGCGCACGCTCCCCCGAACCCGACCGAGGACGACGTTCGAGGAACACGAACAAGAAAAAGAAGCGGTTTCCGCGCACCTGAAGCACCTCCCCCGCCAAAACAGCCACCCTGGATGGAACTCCCGACAGCTCTGACGCCGGTCTCCTTCCTTCCTCTTCGCCGTGGCTGACCCTCCCACCGCCGCTAGCAAACGTGACCCTGGCATTGTCAGCGGCGGGATATCCGAGAAGAGGGCACGCCGACAAGAACAGCGCGAACAGGGCGCCGCACACGCTAAGCCCTCCGCTGCCCCCTGGCTCCGCCTTCCCGAACTCCCCCGGCACCTCGCCGCCGCCGGTTGAGGGGGCGGCTCCCCGCCTCTCTCCTAACCCGCCGTCGCTAGCGGTGGACGCAGCGCCGCCGGCCGTGAACCGTACCGTTGGCGAGGACCGGGGGTACCGGAAGGAGAGGAGGGTTGCCACCGCCGCGTCCCCCGGGGTCGTCGTCGTCCGCATCCGATGATCTTGCGGCACCCTCGCCTGCTGCTGCTGCTGCTGCCGCTGCTGCTGCTCCCAGAGCACTCGCTGCCGGTGGCGGCGGCGGTGATTTTCATCTTCGTCGCCGCGAAATCCTGGCCACCCGCTGTCGGTATCCGTGGGCTCATTTCCACCGTGTCGGCCGTACCGGGTACCGAATACGGCACTATCGCCTACAGCCCCGCCACCCCCCGGGACGTAGCCGGCGGGGCCCCCGCCGAAGGAATACCCATCTGATTCTCCCGCTGCGGGGGCCCTTTGGTCGTCGATGTCGACGCTTGCCGAAGGCGAGGGGGGCAAGAACGACGCATCTTGGTGCAGGCGGGCAGACCTCACCAGACGCTCGAGGAGCCGGCTCGCGGTCGACAGGACCTCCTCGATCACACGCTCGCTGGCGGAAGGAGTTCTACGATAGGCCAAGGCAAGGGCGGGGTAGGTGGGGGAGAACCAACTTCGATGCGGCGGAATAAAGCGAAGGGGGGCGGAGGGGGAGGTGTACCCGCAATATGGGGGGGAAAATATTGTATGTGGTGGTGAAAAAACAGAGTGGCGGAAGGCGATGGCCGTCAAGGTAGTTCACGGGAGAGGGGACACTGTTGCTGAGTGAATCAGGGAGGTTAGGTGGGACGTGATGAGTGCGGGTGAGCCATCTCTTGTAGCACCTGAACAACACCGATGAAAAAAAATACCTCTCAAGAAGGAAGGCTGCCTGCGGCCCCATTGGTTCAATTAGTAGTCGACTAGATACGTGGGACATGCTTCAGCGTTGGAATGGATGCGAACGTAGGGGGGGGGGGGGGGGGGGGGGGGGGGTTTTTTTTTTTTT